GAAAGAGTGCTCTTGGCTCCCTCTTTTCACTGAAAAGAAATGGGCATCTGCAAAAAAACCCCAAACAAACCAAACAATCCAAGGTCAAAAGGATCAATGGTTGGGAAATTTTGCATGGAGGACTCCCCAGAAATCAGTGTCTTGTCCTGGCCCCCCAAGTTGTGACTTACCAAAGGTCAGACTTTGTGCCTATGATATTTGTATTGATGATGATAGAGAGCAGCTCTAGCACAGCCACAGGCACAGCAGAAGGGGGAGAAATGCATTAAAATGCCACCAGGCTCTCAAGTAAATAGATTTTATGGGAATACCAAGCCAGAAGACTTCCAAAAGGAGCTTACACCTAGCACAATTACAAAGCCAAGATATTTAGCCATCCCAAAAGACTTCTTACCTTTACTGGTGTAGGAATTGAGTCCAAACTTGCCAGCCAATAAGAATTGCAGGGAATCTTCTCTTATGTGTGAGTGTCATAACCCAAGGCTGGGCTTTCTCCTCTGTGTCCTGCAGTATGGCAAGAAGAAGCTGAAGTACCTGCCTTACAACCACCAGCACGAGTACTTCTTCCTCAGTGAGTATCTGCCCTGCACTCTGCCTTTCTCCCTGAATTCCAGTTGACATTCCCAGCCCCTACTGCATTAGCAGAGCAACTCCTGGAGCCCCAGCTCATCTGTCCCTTCCTCAGGATCCCTGTGCAGGTCCCAGATCAGTTCAGAATATTCTCAATGACATCCAGGCATCTTGAATGTGACCACCATGGTCGTGTAAGCCAAGATGAACAGCAAAGCCTGGGAAATAACCCCCATGTGAGAGGCTCCATGGAAAAAACCCCCATGTTTCCAGTCAATGCTCTTTGATAAATCAGGATGAATGGGTGTGAAGCAGAGGCAGCCCCCAGCACCAGCACCTCACCTCTCTCACCAGTGCCAGGCAGCCTTCCCCTGGAACCAGCCCTAAATTCCTGGCTCACTCTCACGCCCCAAAGCTTTTCCACCCCTCTGATGGCTGAAACATTCCCCTTTGCTTTGCAGTCTTCCCACCTCTGCTCATCCCTGTGTATTTCCAAATCCAAATCATCTCGACCATGATCAGGCACAGGTTCTGGGCGGTGAGTGAAACGTTCCCTCCAGCTGGATGGGGTCTGGCTGGCTCCTGAAGAATCCCACTGGAGCAGGGAGGGAGGCCAGGGGGCAGGGATTGCCCTCTGCTGTATTAATTACCACCAAGGACACACGTGGTAGGAGACAGGCAAGGTGATGCCTCATGTCTTCTCTCTTCCCCTAGGACCTCGCCTGGGCCATCAGCTACTACATCCGCTACTTCATCACCTACATCCCATTCTATGGTGTCCTGGGGTCCCTATTTCTCCTCACTTTTGTCAGGTAGGAGATAAAGGGCATCCCTGCTGTTCTCTCTTCCCTCCAGAGCCAGAGGACCCAAGTCTCTGTGTCCCTCAGACCTTTCCTGTGTAGATTATCTGCAGTCACTGACCTCCCTGTGTTACCTTGGCTACTCCCACAGCTTCACTTTCCCCTTCTCACCTCCCAGTTCCTCCTCCCCTCTGCAGAGCTGGTTCTGGTGCTCAGAACCTTCCCTTGCCCAGGATCCTCCTTCCTTTCCTCATTCCCTCACACACTTGCCTGATCCCAACAAATTTATGCTTTTTTTTTTTTTTCCCCCTCCATTTTTGGTCAAGGTTGGGCCTTTCCAAAGTGCCTCAGGCCACCTCCTTCCCACCTCACTGGGAAGGTAATTCCTGAGCCCTCTGGAGCACTGGATGTGCTTCCCAGGGAGATGCTCACCCCTTCCCCAGTGGAGAAGACTGCCTGGTGTACCAGCTAGTACCAAGGATGGCATTTAGCCCCAGAGTCATTAGTTTCATCACAGTGAAAACCAGTTTCCAAACTAAATCAGAAAAATAATTCATGATTTTTCATGAAAAAGGAAAGGCAACAGGTGTACAAAAACCTTCACAACTTTTGCCTTCCCAAAATGTAACATCCCTGGTCATACATTCACTTTTCATCACTGCAAAACACTTTGGACCTAAGGAAAAGAGGAGACCCTAAAGACACAGGGTTGTCCAAGTCCTTAGCCAACCTCTTTGGTCTGAAATCAAGCTGAAAAACTTAGGACAACTGACCCATGATTTCCAAAACTTCCCTATTTTGATTAAGCTAAAATTGGGAGAAGAAAGGGAAAAATTGCAAATTTGGATCATCTGCTCTTTTAGAAAACAACCCTAAAGACCAGAACAAGGATGTTTCTGGACACCTACCTTGAAAATGTGTATCCAAGTCTCAGCTTAGAGATACTACTTTGAGTAAAGAAAGAGAAGAGCATTTCTGGACTATAACAATGCAGTTATAAACCATGAGCAATAAACAAGCCACTCTAAAGCAAGATCCATCCCAGTACAGGGCTGAGACTTAGGGAAAAGGTACTGAGAGAGCAAAGGGAAGCTGGGAGACCCAGTATGCCAAGCTTGACACCCAGAAAGGTAACCCTGGTGGGCAGGAGGAGTTGGGAATTCATGTGTATCCAGCAAGCAATAGGAAAGATGCTCCCTGAAAACCCCACTCAACCTTCTCTTCCCATCTGCAATTGTCATTGTCTTTTTTTTTTTTTTTTGCCTGTTTTTGAAGGTTTCTGGAGAGTCACTGGTTTGTCTGGGTCACCCAGATGAATCACATCCCAATGGAAATTGATTCTGAGAAGCACAGAGACTGGCTTAGCTCTCAGGTAACTGGGAGGGGAAAGAATACCCCTGTCTCACCCCAAAATGGACTAGAGATTTAAGTAGAGAGTGGGTGGGATCCCACTAACCCCAGGTACTAGCAAATGGTCTCTATGCTCCCTCCCAGAAAGATCTTCTCCCCAGAGCCAGCGATGCCAAGTCAAGACATAGATGTCCAAACTTCTGTAATCATTGACAGTGAAAATGTTCCTTCAGATTGGAGGCAGGATCAGGTTCAAGAAGGATATTTGGCTTTCTTGGGTGGGGTGTGTTGGCCCCTACATGACAGCAAAAGAAGAGCCCCAATGCAAATCAAAGCTGGAGACAGAGATCAATGGGTTTCTAAAGTTTCTATTTCAGCAATAAGGGCTGAAATGAAAAGCAGCTGCTTTCTACACCTTTTTAATGCCTGGCCAGACAAATCCACCCTGCTGAAAGGACATCATGTCTTTACAGTTGTCCAAGTCCTGTTCTGACCTAGAGGAGAGGGCAGTTCTGACACTGAGATTTCTCTATTGGAGAACAAGCCCTGTGAGGAGCACCTGAGGGAACTGGGGGTGTTTAGCCCAGGGAAGACCTTCTCTCTCTGTGCAACTTACTGGAAGGAGGTTGGAGTGAGGTGGGGGTTGGTCTCTTCTTCATAGTAACAAGCAACAGGACAAGAGGAAACAGCCTCAAGTTGTGCCAGGGGAGGTTTAGATTGGAAACTTCTTCATGGAAAGGGCAATCAGACACAGGTGGTGGAATCCCCATTCTCAGAGGTGTTTCAAAGCCATGTAGATGTGGTGCTGAGGGACATGGTTTAAGCTCTAGACTTGGTAGAGTTGGGTTAATGGTTGGTAGAGTTGGGTTAATGGTCAGTAGAGTTGGGTCAATGGTTGGACTTGATGTTCTAAAAGGTCTTTTCCAAGCAGACTCTGCCTCCTCACAGCTGCTCTCTTGCCTTCCCAGATGGCAGCCACGTGCAACATTGAGCAGTCCTTCTTCAATGACTGGTTCACTGGGCACCTGAACTTTCAAATCGAGCACCAGTGAGTACAGAGCCCTGTGGCCACCATCAGGTTGTCACAACACTGGGTTTTGGGGGGGGGAGGGAAAGTCTGCTAAAGGCATGTGTGTGGGATGGGGCAGGGTCTTTGGAGCTACTGGGAGGCAAGGAAGGAGAGTCCCAGACTTCTGGGGGTCATGGTCTGCTTTCTGCAAGGATGGCATCTGCCTCCTTTGCTACCTAATACTTCACTCTCCCCATTTGAATTTGGAGTTTAATTAGGAGTCAGTGGCACAAACCTAACAGTGACCATGGCTATGGATTCATACCCTATTTGAACTTGAGTATCCATTTCAGAAATCTCCTCTCCCTGGCAAAAAGTGCTTTTTAGTGTTTTATAGCTTGGGACAGTTGTGTGGGACTGGGCACACTGCTGGGTACCAGGTTCCAGGAAAAAAACCCAAACATGTAAAAATAAGTTTACAAAATTAAAATCAGGGCCATAGACACGGTTTGTTGCCTGTGACAACACAACATGTAGAAGAGACAGCATTTAGGGCAAAGCTGACTGGTTTGGATGTCAACTTAGGAAATCTCTATTGAACAGCACAGGTCAAGGTGATCCCAAATTCTTCCTTACCTGCTTTGCTATTCCATGAGCTTCCAGAGGTGACAAATGAATGCATTCAGTTTCCACAAGGCTCCTTGGAACAGAGGATTGTAAAGCACAGACACCTCTCTGTGCCTCTCCCCCCCCTTTCTCTGCTTGTGAAGCAGAGAAGCTTGTTCTAATTAGCCCCCATGAGGAGGCAGCCAGAGATGCCCCTTCCTTGGGGTTATTCTCTGGAGCTTCCTCAGGTTTGTTTTCTCTTTCTCTCTTCAAGCCTGTTTCCAACAATGCCACGGCACAACTTCTGGAAGGTGAAACCTTTGGTGAAGTCCTTATGTGCCAAGTATGGAGTCCAGTATGAAGAGAAACCTCTTGGAAAAGCATTCGTAGACATTGTTGGGTAAGGTCCTTCTAAGTGTCCTCTGCAGAGGGAAATTCGTGGTTAGATGAACATCTGACCTTTCCTAGGAGAGAGAATTCAGGGTTCTAGAGACCTTTCAGAAATACCCCCTTGGTGTGTTGTCACCTGGTGTCACTGGGTCAATAACCTTCACGTCACAGTCCAGGGCACACCTGCAGCAGTGCTGACCCACAGCAGAATGGACACAGCTCCAGTGATTTCATGGGCAGGTGACAACAGATGGGTGGGAAGCTGCTTCACTCCACCATGGGGGAAGAAATAACTGTCCCCTAGAGCAGCCTCTGCCACCAGAGCACTTCTGTCACAGCACCAATCTACTCCCTGAGCACCGAGATGGCTACTAACCTGATCCACCAGGGACCTTTTGCATAATCCATTTTTCATATTCCTTTTTGAAGAGGCTACACTTCATCATACATGTTTTAAAAGGCTGTTGCCAGCTGATGATTGCTGCTGGCAACTTGTCTTTGGGCTGCAAAGTGAGATGAATCAAAGGGGAATGAGTCAGGTTACAGCCCGTGCTGTTTCCATCTGAGCCCTGCCAGCAGCACAGAGCTGTTCCCTCCAGGCAGGGTTGCAGACTGGTCTAATAGTCCTTGTCAGGCAGCCTCTGTGTTGATGTTTCTGGCTCAGTTACTCCAAGGGAAATAATTCATGACAGGGAACATGAGAAAGTATTCTGCAGGCCAGGGATCTCCACTCCAAAACCATTCCAAGCTGATGCAAATGAAAGCAGGTTGGCCCCAACCTGCAGAAGGGCTGAAAACTGGTTCCAAACCTCCTTTGCTCCTCACATCCCAACCCAGGAAGATGCAGGCAACCCTGAGACCCAGGGGGGTTATGTCCAGCATCCCACCCTACAGTGCCCATGTCCCTGCACAAGTTCTCAGAAACTACCTCAGCACTGACTTGCCCTCCCAGTAGAAGAACCATCTGTAAACAAAGCAAAGCTGCATGTCCACCCTCCAGACAAAAGTCTGGTTGTGAGAAGACTCTGGAGCCCAAACCAGCTGAGATCTGTCACATAATATTTGTGGAGCTGATGGAAAAATTCTGCATGGGAATTCCCAAGGAGGGGGGATGTGGGGAAAATACCTTCAGAGGTAGAACACGGTGAGGCCAGGAAATTCTCCTCTGCTGTTTATTCAGGGCCAGAGGGACATGGTGGGCATGAGGTGAAGTTCTTGCTCCACTGAGTCTCAGACTGGTCACTTTGGAGACCTAAAAAGCAAAATAGGTACATTAGGAATATTATAATAATAACTATATCTGCTATGCTGGGGAAAGACATTTGGTGCTCCAAGGATTTATACCCAAATTCACTAACAAGGCTTCTTTGTGTGTGGGGGGAAAAGGGTATTATGGAGGCAAGATTCACAGGCCAAACAAACTTCTCCTCATTTTCTTTCCACAGGTCCCTAAAGAAATCTGGAGATCTGTGGCTGGATGCTTACCTCCATAAGTGACCATAAATCTTACTGGGGAGGTGTGAGTGACAGAGAGGGATGGGGGGGGAATCACACGTGTGTCTTTTACTCTCAGATTTCAGTCTATAGCTTCGTGCACAGCTGGAGGGCACCTTCCCTTCTTGTGAACTGGTTTGGGCCCAGGCAACCTGTTTAATCCAGACAGATGCAAAAATGTGCTTCAGAGGATGGGGAACAATGGCAGCCCTGCACAAAACAGAAGGTTGAGAGAGGGTGGAGGGAAGCAGTGTTTTTAAAAAAAGGGGCATTAATACCCAACCTTGACCTTCTCTTAACAGGATTCATTCTGCTTCTCCCTAAACCAACACAAGCCCCTGATTCCCAGACCCCTGAGACTCCCTTAGGCTTCAGTGAGTCCTGGCAAACCCAGGACACCCCAAGTCAGCCTCTTCTCCCCGTTTTTGTAAAAGAGGAGCTCAGCACAGAGTTTCACTTTGTTATCCAGGAAAAACTAACATGGCCCATGATGCCCGTGGCAAGAGGGAGCTCAGATGGGCTGCCATGCCCACCAGCCCTGCCTGCAGGAATCCCATCCCACAGGGACACACAATGGAGCTTTCAGCCCTGCCCAGAGCCTCCCCCCAACTAGGACTCCCTCCTTTCTCTCCCTCCTTTCTTTCTCTAACCATAACATCACTTTAGTAAAAGCTGTGATACTGACCCTGCACAATCCATCTCTAACCACCTCCCAGCGGGTGTATTTTGATGACCAGGCCTTATTCCCAGGGGTTCCAGGGAAGATCTTTGGGCATTAACAGCAAAAAGCCTCCTTTAGGAAAGGGTCTTTTTTTCCCCTTTAATGAGCAACAAGGCCTGGCACAGCATCTGTGCCTGGCACTACATGACACAAAAGACCAAAATAAGCTACTAATTGCTGCTGAGTGCCCCAGTGTAACCACCAATGGGCTTTTCAGCAGAGCAGCCAGGGAGGCTGCTGAAAAAAACAGGGTTCTGCCTCTCTGCACAGGCCTGGCAGGAACCAAACCTCTGCCTCCTTGTCAGAGGCCATGGCACTGTTTGCCCTTCTCCTGCAACCAATCAGCCAGGAAAATGAGTCCTCCCTCCAAAATAAGGAGCTGCCCAACCCAACTTGGCCCTTCAGGAGGCAGCTGAGGACAGAACTGACCAGGCTGTGCTGCTGATAGGAAACCCTTCTGGAGAACCCTCCTATAAGTTGTCTAAAACTCTTTCCTGCTTTTGCCCAAGACCTAATCACCAAAACCCATTAATGGCTCAGCAGGAGATATGGTTGAACAGCTTCCAGGTGCTTCTGTCACAGACAACCTGATGCCAAAATAAATCAAGGGCTTTAGATTTGGTTGTGATACAACCAAAGAGATGGACCCTTTCGTTGATGAGAAAGGGCCATGGTTTCAAAAGGAGCCTTCAGTTCCACCAGCTGCTTCATGGCCCACTCTGAACACCCAGCAGGGATGCTCCAGTTCTTAGGCAATGACTTTACACACCTCCTTACTTTGCTCAGCTCTGGATCCTCTCTAGTGAACTCTTCAATGCTAAATAGAGGCCCAAAAATCAACAGGGTTCTTTAGGAGCAAAGACAACTCCAGGACTGTGACCAACCACTTCAAAAAACATCCATCTATTTCCCAAGCCTTTCTTTGGAGAATAAAATGAGATGATTTCTTTGCTTACAGATGGGAAATTCACAGGCAGGACTGCAACTTCAGCTAACTAGGAATGCTTAAGGTTTGTCAAGGGCTGATTTTGGTGTTCTTGATGGCAACACCTGACTCCCACCAGGAAGGGTTGGGATGAAAAGCTGCTGGCTCTGGGTTGTCTGAAGCTTAAGCAGACTTTGAGCCATTTTTATAGGGAACTCCTAATAGCATAACCAATAACATCCTTTTGGATGCTGTGATTTCCCAGACAGGCAGCAAGGAGCCTGCCTGGGATGGTGGCTGACATTAAGACTGCCTTAACACATGCATCTCTGTCTCCTTGAATGTATTTCACTGTCTCTGCTCCAGCAAGGATGACCCCAAGCACCTAGCACTGTCATCTTTTCAATATTCATCTTGTTTTTCTGACAGGTCCTATTTTTTCCCCCCTCTGGGTCTCACTTCCCAAGCAAATACCTTCTCACTACAGATGCCTCTTCCTCCTCAGCGCTCTCCCCTCTTCTCCCTCTTACCTTTCTTCCTGGGAACTTCTTTTTAACCCAGAGAAACTGCAGCAACCTGGTAGCTCAGCCTAGGTAAACAGTCCTGCTTTAGCAACCTGGCTTCCCTTTTGCCACTGACCAGTCTACCAGAGGACTGGTTTTCTGCTAATAACCCAAATGACTGCCAAGACAACAGCCTGGCCTGGCAGGAGACAGCAGCTACCACTGATGATGGCTGAAGACCTTGACACATTCCAGGACAGCAACGACCTGCAGGAGGACAAACCAGCTCTTAGGCAAATGGGATTTTTGTTGTTTTTTTTTCCCCTAAAGCCTTAGCAGAAGATTCCAAAGGGAAGAAAGGGGGGGGGGAAGAGGAGAGAGCTTCTAACTCTGCCCCAGCTTCTGGCTTCTTTCAGACTCTCAAAAAATTCCCCTCATGAAAAATGTTTGGTTGCTCAAATCCAGCAATAAAAACTGTGTAATGTTACAGTCAGAACTGACTTCCAAGTGACATGTGTTGTCCCTGCCCTGGCAAGATACACTGATCTGAACTGCAAAGGGTAGGTCACCAACTCTTTGTCACTAGCAGTGTATTTATCTTAATTCATTTTAAAGTTTGCCTGGTGAAAACATCAGCTGCTGGGTCACTTTTCCAGCAAACCCTCTCTGGCTTGGTTAGTTTCTTCCTCTCCCTCCAAAAAAAAAATCCAGCCCTCTTATCTTGGAAATCAAGCTGTTTCATACGTGCCTTGATGAGGAAATTCTCTACCCTTTAAGCCCTGACCATGAGCCCTGGAAGTCTGGGCCAATCTGCCTGGTTATAATTTTAAGTAGGACCAAAGTGAAATTGGGTTGACAGGAGATGTTCCAGAAGTTGCAGCAAAACTGCAGGCTTAGGTGGACATCAAATTCATGTGACATTGCTTGGCTTTGTCCCCAGTCCAGGCAAAACAGCTGCCATCAATCACAGGGGTGACAAACAACCATCAAAAGGATTCAAACACAGAAATTGAAGTCCAGTTTTGCCCAGCTTCCTGAGGACCACAACTAACTAGTTCCTCTGAAAAGAATGAGGTGAAACCTTCTACACTTTTTCTCTCTTGTTTGCACTGGAATGAAACACAAACACACCCAAAAATAATCTGTAGGACATACTGGGAGCCTGCCAGGGTTTACTTAACCCAGCTAAATCACAGCATTGGCTACATGAGCACTTGGCAAGGGAGAGAGACCATGAGTTGGAAAGACAGAGCTTGTTTCAGGGCAGATAATAAAACAATAGGCAGGAAAGTTCTGGCTTGGCTTCTCTGCAGTCCCTTGTTAGGGCAGCTGGAGCAGAAGCAGGAGGAGCAGGATGGTCCAAGAGAGTTGGCAGGGAAAGGCATGAGCTGAAGCAAGTGCAGGGAAGGCAAGAGGAGCCTCTGGGCAGGAGAGAGGTGGGCATGTGGTCTGGGAGAGGTTGAGAGATGGGAGAAAGAGCAGGCTGGGGAGGAATGCATGATGGGGCAGGAGAAAAGATGCCAAGGGGGTGGAGAGAGAAGAAAAAGCAGCTTGAAATCAGGTGCCCTGTATCCTGTTCATCACTGGTAGAGACTAGAGAACAGGTGATGCTGGAGACACGAGGAGGAAAGGTCAGAGGAGAGGCTCAAGGGTGATGGAAGGGGCTGGCAACATCACCACCATCTCCTGGTGGGCTGGATCCTGCCCTGAGCTCACCCTCCCCAGCTCTGAGAGCAGGGCCAGGCTGGGGACACACACAGTGACTTCAGCAGCAGGTTTGGGTCCCCCCAGAGCACGAGCTGCTCCTGCACTCAGCTCTGGTGGGTTACAGCTGCAGCCTGGACCTTCTGCAACACAACCTTAACCCCACTGAAGGCCACAGGGCTGTGTCAGCCTCCGGAGCTAACACCCAGCTCCCTGTTTCCAGGCAGAGGCACAATGGGAATGTGGAGATTTTCATTCCTTTCAGCAGGGATTGGAGGAGGCCAAGATCCCAACTGGTTGCTGGAATAGGGCCCAGGAGGCTCAGAGCTCCAGCAGAGCCTCACCAGGATGGATCTCCAGGCACCATCGCTCCTTGCTACACGGATCACACTGGATTTTAGGTCTCCACTAGGACAAAGACACCCTGTTCTTGCTGTAACAAGCTGCCATGGCCAAGCCATGGTCTCTTCTTGTAGATGCTTTCCTAAGAAAGCCTTCCTAACAAAGCCCTAACTTTTCAGATGGTTTCTAGGAGTTGCTCAAACATCAATCCCACAATCCTTATGGGACAGCTCCTGGTTATTTAATGCTTAAAAAAATTGAATAAATATTTCAGTAACTCAAAAAGAACATTTTTTTTTTTCTTGTGTGTTCTACCACTCAATAAAATCATAACTATTTGTTGACCATAAAAATGTTTTGTGTGGGGTGTTTTTTTCCCAGTCCCATCCAGAGTCACTCCAGTGCTCAAGGAATCTGCTTCCCCTTGGTGGACCTTCTGCAGTACCAACCCATGGACATGCTAGCTGGGACATTTCTAGGGTCTCAATGTCACCATCCAGGTCTGGTCCTGAGATCAGGAATTTATGTTCAAATTCAGAATTCTTAGAGGGTAGGTTTTGGTATTCAAGTCTGAATTCCAACTTTAGTCTTGTCATTGTTCTTCTGATCAGTCCAAAATCAGATCCCACCAGGAATGATAAGAAAACTATGGAAGAAAACTCCAGAAAAGGATTTGGGATCAGACATACTGATTATGGCTTCCCTTGTTTTTCCTAACTACATTTTCTTATAGAGGAGCTGTTAGGTAGTGATTGAGGAAAGTCCTTTTTCCCCCCCTCAAAGGCTGAAATTGTGAAATTACTTTATAAGATCAACTTTTACAGCACAAATTCCTTTATCAGCCTTCCCACAGCCCAGGACCAATGGCACTTTCCCCCCTCATCTTGGGAACCAGCACCAAAGTAAAGGAGATCTCCCTGGAGAAAGATCTGCCTGGCCATTCAAAAAATCAGTCTCTGGGCCATCCAGGGAGGCAGCTGAGAATAAAAC